ATAAAAAGTGTTTATATATCAAGAGAGACTGTCATAGCATTTTACTTAATGTTGTTAATCAAAATAGTACTCGTAATATTGACTTTTGATGAACTTGTATGGCTTACTTAAAAAAACTGATTATATACATTTTTAAAACAACTCTTAGGCATATTAAGTGTGACATACATACGAAAAAAAGAAGATCAAATACTTAACAATCTAAAATTTATATTATAAAATACACATTTTAACGAAAACATCAAATAATTTATAATAAAATTATACCTTCTTCGGTAAACCACACAAAGAAATGTGATCGCCAAACAAAACATGAATAATGTTCGATGTTTGGACAAACATCGAAGGATCGACGATGCATCGTTAGCTAAAAACATCGCAAAACATCGATGCATTGTGTAAAACATCGTCGATGCTCGATACATCGATGTTTTTTTACATCCAGTCAGTCAGTATATCAGTCACGCTGCCATCTCTAGGAAGTATGGGCTGCTCTGCTTTTCTCTGTCTGCCACTAACCGCAAAGTTCCTTGCGAGCGGACGGACGGAGAGTGTACAAACAAAGTCGTCTTGGTCACGTTCTCGCACGCAAAACAGGAAGTCTTGGGCCCAAAGCTTGGCAAAGTGTCAAAATATATTTGGCACATGTGTTTAGTGCAACAAAAATCGCGTCGGTTTATTTATGACGATGGCAGCGATCCCCAACCCAAGAGTTCCCGGTCCCCCCAAAGGCAAAAGCAGCGATTTCTTGCCATTAATTACGGAAAATTAAAGTTGATGCGTGCAGCGTCGACTGAAATATTGTTGGCCCCTAGCTATGTACATATGTTTGTATGTATATGTATGTGTTTATAAATATACATGTGCATGTACATACATGCATACAAAATTGTTGTAGGCGCCTCAGCAGTGATCCGTTACTTGAGCTTAAAAAACAATAAAAGAGGAAAACAAAAAGAAAGAAATTAGGTCAGCAAAGCAAGGGCAGCACACAATAAAAATCCTTTGTAAATAAAATAAAGAAAGAAACCCTCGCCATTATCAAACTAGTCCAGTTCTAAAGCCCACGAACCCCCTTCTGTTGTCGCTGCACTCCAGAGTTTCCTGCTTTGCTTTGCTTTGCTCTCTCCTTCATTGCACGATCCTTTTTAACTAGAACAGCGCACAAATACACACACACACACACGCACGCACACTGGCGAGTTTATTACGCAATGGCGAGATCTGCCTACCTAGCCATGTCTGTTTGTTTGCTCCTACCTGACTTAATTATTATATCAGCAAAACATATATATATGTACATACATACGCAGGTAGTCGGAAGACAATGGTAGTAGAGTAGCGTATAGTCGAGGCAGAAGCGGAAGAAGAAGAACATTTCGTCAACAAACTACGCAGTTTGTCTTTTTTCTTCCATTCCCTGCACCTTCAAGTTGGACCTTGACTTGACTTTGCGCGGAATCCTCCCAGCACTATTCCAATATCCAATAAGAAACTGTAGCTACTCTCTCTCTCTCGCACGCTCTCTCACACTCAATTATTTGGCGTGATCAGGCAAGTCGGACAGCAGCAGCAGAAACAACAACAACAATGTTGAAAAATAAAAACCATCCTACACGTGCCCGTGCCCTTATTTTGTTTTTTTTTCTCCGGCTTGCTTTTTTCGCAATTCGCACACCAGGCCTTTTTATATAAGGGTTATATGTACATACTTACATACATTTATATATTTAATAGCGTGTTGGTATATAAGGCAAAAATTCATCTGCACACAACCATTACGCCTGTCGATGATGCGAAAGACACACCACCACCAGCGGCAAAAACAACAACAGCAGCAGCAGCAAGCAATGTCAAAAGGCAGTAACGAGTCTTTCAGATTCGCGAAAGCTCTACAAATTTTATTAAGTATTTACAAACCAATATGTACTATATGTAATTTAGTTTATACAAGTATATGCGCAGTTCTTGATTATATATTTTTATACTTGAAAATAAATTGCTGGCATAATTTCTATAATTACTTCATATTTGTAATTAAGCTTTAAGATAGACAGTATTATTAGTAAGAAATGGGTCTGGCATGCCAATAATTTGTACAAACTTTACTTATTTTTAAAGCAGGACTTGAAAATAAACTCCAAAAATGTATTGTATTATTTAAAAACTTTATTTCAGTGGGTTTTATGGAAATAACATTATATTTATGACATTTTTCTCAAATGCATCGAATTTGTGTGTTATTTTTTTGCCTGTCTAAATAAAAAAGGTAAAATTTAAAGTCCTAAAAAATAAAATGATATAGAAATAACTTTATACTTAAAATAAAAATTCTAAAACTAATTACAACATTTTTCCTCAAGACAATTAAATTGTTCAACTCATATTAGCACTTTAAATTCATTCATTTCAAGTTATATATCAATCAAATTATATTACGAAATCAGCATTCCCAACAAAGATATATTATTTAAACTTAAAGAAGAATTGAAAATATGTACTCTTTTATATTTCTTAGTCACAAATAGTACGACAAATTGCGCATTTGTAGAAATATATCTAAATATAGAAGCTCTATTGGAAACGTAATAACGTATACTAATAAGCATCTACATACACTTTGAATGTATACTATATATGTATATTATGTTTAAGACATAAAATGCAAAACTTAATTCATTTTCGATATTATGAAATTCAATAAATACAACATTTAAACGGCTAAGGATATTAGTATATTTGAGATGAACTTTTAAAGAAAAACAATAAATTTTAATTATTATTTAAATTTGTTTAATCTACTTACATATATATTTCGTAATTAATTTTTTTTTTTTTTGTTATATGTATTTTAAAACATAGAATTTGCTCCACATAGGAATTGAAAATTGTACAGTTAATTGAAAATTGTATACAGTTAAACGTTAACGTTTGTTCAAAATACGCTCCTTTGGGAAACATTTTATGAAATGTTTCATATTAAGAAAGAACTAAGAAGCACTTACCTTTGATTTCTGCACAGAAATCTGCTTCCACTTTTATGATAAGTTGTCGGGCCTGATCAAATCTTTGTAGGGTATTTACCATTCCAATTGGACAAACCTAACAGAAACTTTTGTCTGTGTTTTATTTTTCTACCTTAGCTTTTCTACTGCCTCTTATTTCCTTACGCCATTGAAACGCATTCATTCAAATGCTTTTGTGCGTGTGTGTACTGAAGTGTGCTTATATACATGCATACTTACATACATACATAATTATATATGCATGCATGTGTTCGCAGATAAAAGTTTGAGTAAATGCATACATATCTATATATACATATGTATGTATATTTATGTTCGTTTTGGAATTTGAATCGAAGACAATAGCTGCTATAAATGAACTGGAAAACATAATGAAAGAAAAACACATGAACAGCAAGACATATTCTTAGCATTTAGTTATTTAAGAAAAAAAGCAAAAGTAAAATATTAACGTTTTTTCGCAGCTCGGCAACTCTTTTCACACTCGCTATCATTTGCTTGTTTTGCCGGCTTTTTTGCACACACACGCGCACACATATAGCTACTAATATTTTGCGCTCGCAAGTTCGAAAGCGACTCGGCAGCGCCTTTCGAACCTCTGCCAACGTCGGCTGCAAACATGTTGGAGGGGAAACGAGTGGCAGCTTCATACCGCATTGAAAGTGAATTTTGTTGCCTGCCGCACATTTTGTTCGACAAGCAAAGTCTTTCGGATTTTCTTGCCGTTTTCGCCAAAGAAATAATAAACCTGAACACTTTGGAGCTACACAAGCACTATGGTGTGTCATCTCTCTCACACCCACAGTGCCACAAAAAAAATTCAACCGTTCTATGAACCACCACGACCACCACTGCCACCACAATTATAGCGCCAAAAAGATGCACGATAATTTTCCTCAAATGAAAATCAGGCATTTTCCTAAGCTATTTGGTTGTCTGCAGTTTTGGTCATGGAGGTGGTGGAAAGTGAAAATCGACCAACCACCAACCACCACCCACCAACCCTCAAAGAACACAGCATAAATGAAAACAGTGGCAGGCACAGCGTGCGGCTCAACATCATCATCGTCGCAAACACACCCCCACCAGCAGAAAACAACAAACACACAACGTCGACGTCGACGACGACGACGACGTAGCCGACGACGTCGAGCAAACGACGACGAAACGAACGCAACGGCTGCAGCTGCAAAGCGGCTGATGGCTGGCAACGAGACGGACGTTCGTCAGTTGGAATTTCGCTTTCGAATTGAAAGGTTGCGTTTTCGGCTTCAATCGCTGATGTGTGTGCTGAGCAGGAGAAGAAGAAGAAGCAGCATTGAACAAGAAGTAAAATAAAACACAAACACGCTCGCCGCACGGTTTTGAAAGCAAGAAGTGTTCGAAGAAGGAACAATATATAGGCAGTGAAAATATAGCGTGCTTTGTTATTTTTCGCAAATTTTCAAATAACAAAATCATTATAAAATAGTTAACAAGCGCCCCAGTGTGTGTGCGTCGCTTGTCATTCTTTACTACCGCCCTCCCATAACAGACAATTAAAATAAAAAACAAATTGAAAGGAAAAACTACTTGCGTGTGTGTGTGTGACTCAGATTTTATGCGGCCGGCATGCAAAAACGGTAAATCAAATGCAACGCTTTGCCGTCTCCTTTTTTCTACGTGTACGTCATTTTGTGTTTTCATCATCTTCGTCGCGGTCGTGTAATCGTTGTCTACGCGTATGAGTGCGTGTGTGTGTGGCGCAATTCTTTCGGCAATTTCCAATTAAAAAAAAAAAACAATTTTTGTAAATATGTAAAAGAAATGCTGAACATGGCGTCGTGTGTGTAAAAGAGTTTTTAACACAAATATAAAAGACAAACAATAAACACATTTGATACGTCATAAAAAAAATTAAATTTAATACAGTTCTCAGGTATATAAAACATATAAAAAGCAAATAATAAATAGACTGCAAGCAAATTTTTTAAACATATACAACAACAACAACAAGCAAGAAAACGTGTATAATTTTTGATACAGAAATCGTAAATTTTATAATGCAAATTTTTACAAATCTAATTCTAAACAAAAAACAATGTGGAAGAGCGGAAGCAATAGAATCGTGAAATAAAAATACGCAGCAAAACAATATAATAAAAATAATAACTGTCAAGCAGGAGAGAGAGAGAGAGAGAGAGAGAGAAGTTGAAGAGCAGCCCAACAACAATAAGCACACAATAAGAACAACAAAAACATTGTTCTCACCTATGGCGCCGCGGCGCATTAACGGCAGTAATTCTCCTCCCACACCTCCGACGCCCTCCAATCCGCAGCAGCTGTCCTCAAGCCAGAGTCAAAGCCAAGCTCAGCAGCAGCAGCAGCAACAACAACAACAACAGCACCAGCAATTGCTGAACTTATACGACCCGATGAACGGCATGCAGCAACAACAGCAGCAGCAGCATGCGGTGGGCAGCACCGTGTGTTGCATGCCCAACGGCGAGTGCCGCAAGGTGGACGCACAGATCAGTCTCACCGATGGATTGTCCTTGTCGGATTGTGTGCGTGTTGTGTGCAACAATGAGAACTGCAATGTGGGCCAATATATGCATCGCGAGTGCTTTTTGGCGTGGGAGGGGCAGGTGCTGCAGACGTTGCGCACCAATGGCAAGGCGCGTGGCTGGACAGATCGTCAGCGTGTGCAGAATTTGTGGACCAAAAAGTGTTACGATCTCGTCTCTAAGGCATGCAACTGCAAATGCGGACGCGGGCATTTGCGCAAGGATCTCGAATGGCGGGCACCCTCGCCCTCAGCAATGTCGGTGTCGCTGGTGCCGATGCTCGCCAAGAATGGCGGAGGCGGTGGCGGTGGCAACGTTATGTTTCTCAATGGAGGCGCTGGCACAGGCATGAATGGTGGCCGTGGCATTAATGGTGGCAGCATCAGCAGTGAAGAAGATGATAAGCTAAAAAAGGCCAAAAAGAAGCGAAATCGCAACAATGCTACCAACAATTCGACGACCAACAATGCCGGTGAGCGTGGAGGCGGCAACAGCAGCAACAACAACAACAGCAATGTCAATGGCAATAATAATGCCAAAAATGCCGCACTGACTCCCCTAAATACCAATGCCAATGTCAATGCTGCCTATCAACAACAGCAACAACAACAACAACAGCAGCAGCAGCAACAACAACAACAACAGTTGTCCACTCTTACACCCAATCCCAATGTTGGCGTCATTGGCTCTGGCCTGCCACACAACAGCGGCAACAATAGTGGCAGCAACAATGTGGTTGGCCTCCAGCCCAACGCCATGGCCCCTCTGAGCAGCATGATCATCCATAGCAGCCATGGCAGCAACATTTTGGGCATAGATTTGCGCGCCCGAGCTGGTAGTCTTTCCTCAAGTGGCGCTGTCAGCGGTTCCAGCTCTCCATCGGCCTCACAGTCCAGTGCTGACATTTCCATCTCGCCTGTGCAGCAGCAACAGCAGCAGCAACAACTTGTGGCAAGCAAGCAACTCTCGTTGCTGCAACAGCAGGTCCAGTTTGGCAATACTTTGCTCCTTCAGAACGGCCTCGGCCTCACCACGGGCTTGCAACAGACTACTCCGCTGCCCGCCGTCGCCAACATCAGCAACTTTAAGCCTCTGGCCACCTACGATCAGCAACAGCTCCTCCAACATCAGAAGAACAAGGAGGTCGAGGACTACTCGGAGCTTGTGCGGTAAGTGCGGAAATCAAGAAGTGTTTATTGCTCTTCAAATTTGTTTTAAATATAATTTCTGAATTAGTCATGCTAGTGGCGGTCTCGTGAGCTCAGCTTAAAAGCGTGAAAAGCAAGAAACGAAAAAAGTTTAAAGAATAGAAAATTTAAGAAAATTCCAGGGACTTCAATTTTTTTTTAAATTTGAAAAAGTTGAACAAATAAATAACTAATTCATTTTTTTCTTCAAAGACTTAACAAAAATTACGAATTAATACATAATTAATTTAATTCACATTTACTTGTTAACCATTTTTCAACGGGCGAAAACTCTGTAGAAAGTATTTAGTAGTTTCAAAAAACCTATAATACAAGAACATTAAAAAAATATTTCATTTTATTTTAACTGAAATTACAAATTAATAAATAATTTTTAAATTCATATTTCAAAATTTCAAAAGGCGAAACATTTTATATAGTGTTTTGTAGTTACAAAAAGTGTAGTACAATAAAATTAAATAAATATTTCATTTTATTTAACCGCAAATTTAACTGAAATTACGAATTAATAAATAATTTTTTAAATTCACATTTACTTGTTAAATTATTTTCAAAGGAAGAAAATTCTGTAGAAAGTGTTTTGTAGTTTCAAAACCAAATATTTCAAACTTTGCTTAACAAATAGTGCTGAACAAAAATTCACTTAAATTTAATTATGAAACTACAGTTGAGAGTAATCGTGCAGCGTTTTACATTTTTTTATGTTTATAAGTTTCGACATTATCGGCTTTATTTCACAAAAAAAATATTTTTTCATTAAATTAAAAACAGCGAAATATTTATAAAATGATCTAAAAACATTAACAAGTTTTATGAATAAATAAAAACAAACTCTTGAAATTGAACAAATTCATTTACACAAATTTATGAATAAATAAAAACAAACGCTTGAAATTGAACAAATTTATTTATAAATTACTTTAAAAACAAATTCTTTTTTCGCTAAATGACTTAATTGTTCAAATTTAAATAATTTTGAGAAATTTCTTTCATCACAGTTGTCTGTGCAATTTTACAATTTAGCTCTGTAATTATAAATAGTTCTTGAAGAGGAATATTTAGTTTTAACAGAATTTTTTTCCTAGAACATGTTGAAAAATCTTTCTAGAACATGATCCGATATTAAATGTTTTAGAACTTCCAATATTATTGAATGTGTTCAATTATTTTTTTAAATTTTTATATACAAAATTAGAACAATTTTTGAAATTGTTGCTATTAATTTTAAAAAATTTTTTTTAATGTGGGTCTTTAGTTCCGAAAAGTAATATTTCTCCTTTAATACCAAATATTTAATCACTATTAAAAGTTAAATTTTAAAAAATAATTAAATGTTTCGTAAGCATGATTTTTATTTCTCAAAACCTTGCGAATTGCTTCTAGAACCTCATTTTTGTTTTGAACAGTTTTTTCTATTATTCTAAATCCATTATTAAAATGTTTCTGAAATATGTGAGTAGATTTCTATTTCTGTGTGCGCGCATGTGTGTGAGTCACACCTTTGTAAACATTGGGAAGAGCCCTCTTTAGAATCTATCGAGATTCCAATCCATTGGCTGGCACGTGCTCTGCCATCTCTAGACCCTGTGCCAGCTGTCAACTCGAATGGCTTTCCGAAATTCCCCAACATGTGCCGCGACAATTTCAATATTTATTTATAAAACTTTCATAAATTATCAACAATTGTCCCCCCATCCCACTCCACAGAGCATACATACATACATATATGCATATCTTTGTTGAATTATATAACCTTGATAATTCCCTTGCTTTAAATACAAACATACATATGTATGTACATATATACATATGTATATAAGATATTTGTATGACTGGTACTAACTAAACAGCCGATTCTTGATACTGAATGACATATTTGTTGTTGGTGCGCTTTCGCTTTTTTTTTATTATTATTTTTTTTTTGGCAGAACAGCTGCGAACAAAATTTAATTCAATATTTGCGAATTAATTTCAGCAGAACAATAACAACAACAACCACACCAATCATAAAAGCAATGCCAAAAGAAATCAAAAACCAGCCTAAAACGAACATGTGAGCAAAATTAACAACGTTTAAGATTTTTAATACCTATTATTTATGCCTGCCTGCCTGCCTCAGCTGCCTGTTTGTTGTAGTTGTTGTTGTTGTTGTTTCAATTGAGAGCGCGCGTCGTCTGGTTAAGGAAGTTTACATTTTTTTTATTGTCAATTTGCATAACAATGAGCCTGTTCAGATCTTTGCTCTTCAGCTGTTTGCTGCGCTCTCTGTGTGCTCCGCTCTCTTTCGCTGCCCCTCTTCCGCGCTCTTGCCGTCTTTATGCGCTGATCTCGCAGCATTGCGTTCTGTTCGCGTTTTTGGTGTGCTCTGCAGCGGCTTGTTATTTCCTTTTTGGTCTGCACATTTATTATTTACTTGTCTTGCGAGTTTCACTTTTATCGTTGCCAGTTTTTTCTTCTCCTACTGCTGTTGTTGTTGTTGTTGTAGTTATGAGTTGGGTGCATATATGTATGTGTGTGTGTGTGTGTAGTGGCCACAGCTTTGGGTCAAGGTTTAGCCGGCGCTCTCTCACCCCCGCTACTCGCTCTCAATTTTGTGTTCTACACTCTGCTTGGATCGTTTGAGAAAATGTTGAAAATTTTAATTTATTCGCGTGCTCACTCATTGTGCACATAATTTCCATTTTTTAATGCCTAATTTTAATATTTCCGCATCGGCATGGTGCGCGTTATTATTTATTTCAGCTCGTTCCAAAAAGTTCTATACAAAAAAAAAAAAAAAAATGAAAGAAATAAATACAATAGCACAAACAAATCAAATGCCGAAGAAGCACAACACAACACACATCGCTCACCAACAAGAACAACAATATCAAAGTGGAAAACAAATCAAATATAAAGCTAGATCGTGTGTTTTTCGGTTCTGTTTTTGTGAGCAACCCAGCCCCGCCCAACCCACTCCACCACCTTCAACACCACCACCCCGATCGCGAGCTCTTTCGGCGGCCTATTGACTATTTATGTACTTTTATTTTGAATGTATAGTATAGTTTTGTTTTTGCTTTTGGCTTTCGGCTTTTGGCACGCACTGGTTTTCTCAGCTGTTGCGAATCGAATTGAAGAAATAAATGCACTGATGTTTCTTTATGGAACTGATCACTCCTTAAATTTACAGTAAACAATTATTTTCGTTATTTCGAGAATATGTTAATTATGTTACATTGAAATAAAGTAGGGAATGGGGGTGGGAATCTAAAAGAAGAAATAAATGTGCTAATGTTTCTATACAGAGCTGGTCGGAAATATGTTAATTGTATTTTAGAGAAAGGGACACATTACTGAAATATATTATTATGCTCAAACGTTGCATATAATTTGTAGTTTATTTTATTTATAATTGTTTGACCATAATAACTACAAGTAATAAATGTAGGAATGCAAATATTCGTTTGATTTGTTCATTATTCTTCTTGTTTTTTTCAATTCAATAAATTCCAATCCTTTCACATGCTAAACAGAAAAATAATCGTGAAAATAGCAAAGCACTAAACAATAGGTGCTACAAAAAATATATACATAAATAATATGCGACTATAATTCACATATGATGAAAAATAAATACTTATTTTTTCTAAAATATTATTTAAAATTTCATCAAATGTTTTAAATTCAGGTCTAAATAGGAATTCAATAGGCTCTCAAAATTAGGAAATTTTCTCTACGTTTTTTTTTAAATGAATAAATTATTATTCATCATAATTTTCAAAATTTCCCCAATTTGAAAAATAAGTAACATTTTGAATTAATTTATTGTAATTTATATTGCCTTTGAATAAATTGATATCAATTTGTAATTCATAAAAAAACTATGAGTTAAAAACAATAAATAAAATAGATAATGGCTTAAATTTGTTCATTTTCTAAAATAAAATTTCTTTAAAATGTTGAAGGCCGCTTATCTTCTACTTCCTTTCCATAAAGGTACATAATCGGAAGTATTGCGGCCTCTTGAGAAAAAAGAACAACTCATACACTTCTTTATTTTCACTCCCCTCTCTTTTTCTCTGTTTTTGTTTTTGTGCGCTGTCTTTTGTTACCACGTTTCGTTCAGTTTTCAAGGTCGAGATATGTTTTGCTCATACATAAAAAAAAGACTACATATGTACATACATCTGTACATGTCTGTTTGTATAGTAAATATACATAAGTGTGTATTTGTTCGCCCACGCTTTTTTTGTGCCCTGCTTCTATTTTTTAGCTGATGGTTTGAATTAAACTTTGAAAGTTGTTCCTCTCTGCCTATTTCTTGCTATCTATTTATTTTGTGTAGAAACTTCTGCTCACCCCCAACTTTTGTGCATTCTTGAAGCTTGCATTCGCTGTCGTTTTGATAAACGGAACCGGTTGACCGATTAAATTTTTTATTATCAAAATCATTTATTTACTTTCAAATGTTATTTTTAGCGCCACACGCGTCAATTGAACATTTCTTTGGGGTTTCTTGTTTGTGTTTTGATAAACAAAATATGGCCAAAAGCCACAACAACCACAAGCACAACAACAACAAAATAGCGCAAACTCAGCTACTTTCTGGAACTCATGAAGGTTGACTGGGAACTTGAGAACTGTTTGCAATGTATGTAGACATTGTATAACATTTATTTAATGGATCAACCGTTGGTTGGGGGATGGGCCTGCAAAGTAAACCTCCGTATGCCACCCATTCAGTCTGACAATCACGCGCACACTTAACAATTTTTTTTTTTGGCACTTGAATTTTCTTTTTTTTTTCTGTTGTGGGCCTTTTGCCGGCTTTTCTTGGTGTGTGCTTTTTTGTGTGTGTTTGCCTTTTTTTTTTGCTTTTCTCACCAACAACCAATGTCAAGGTTAAGATACAGAATTTTGGTGTTGTTGGTTTGTTGGGGCGTTTGTTTTTATAATTTTATTTGGCAGACGAAAAACCT